TTCTACTTCTAGTGTTCTGTCTTAGAAAATAACCAATATTTGGCTTAATATTTTTCTTAATAGCCAGAAAGTGGGAACAGGTAAAATGTTCAAAAATAATAGAATGATAAAATTATGATATAATCATAAGACTTTTATCAGTTTTTACTTAGAATTCCTTTCATGTATTTTATGACACGAAAAAAATGTCCATAATATACTGCTAAGTATAAAACATAAGATATGAAATTGAATAGTATGATCCCAATTTTATTAAAATTAAAAACAGAAAACTTATGTCAGAAAATATTGGTAAGAAATATAACAAAACTGGTTAGTAACTGGTTAGTAGAATTATAGGTGACTTTATGATTAGTATCTTACAAATTTTTTATAATGGATATGATTTTTTTTTGAATCAGAAAAAATAACATTTTTGAAAGATACTGACAATTACAAGTTTCTTTACATATTAGGGTTAGAATAAGGAAGAGTCATTTGGCAGATAGATCAAGTGGAAAGAGAAGGTATGGCATAGGCAGAGTGAATTTGGCTGTTTTAATGAAGAAATTAGAGAAGCTTTAGCAAACTAAGGCTTTCTATGTGGGTGTCAGTGAAAAAGAGCCAAAGCAGGCATTTATAATATCATGGGTATAATATTTAATACATTATGTTTGTAAAGAGATTTAACATTTCATTTTAATGTACTTTTGTACATTATCTTGTTTTAGCCTTATAATAACTATGGGTTGGGTACACCAGGTGTTTTCCACATTTTGTAGATGAGAAAAACTTCAGAAAAAAACATTTTACAAGGTTATATCAAATTCTCTCTAGCTACAGAATGATAGTGCTGAAGGATCGTCTTACAGTGCTAGGAAAGCTAGGCAACTTGGCCCTACATAGCCTAAATTTATAAATTTAAAGTAAAAATTGCTTATAGGAATATGTGAAAACATTTTGTCAAACTTGCTTTCTTCTGAAAGCTTAAACATAATTTGAGCAAGTAATGTTTTAATTATGGAGATTAGTTGTCTGTTGTTAATAGTTGTCGTTGAGTCGGTTCTGACTCATAGTGACCCTGTGAACAACAAAACGAAACACTACCCAGTCCTGTGCCATCCTCACAATCATTGCTGTGCTTGAGTTCATTGTTGCAGCTACTGTGTCAGTCCATCTTGTTGAGGATCTTCCTCTTTTTCACTGACTCTGTACTTTACCAGGCATGACATTCTTCTCCAGGGACTGGTCCACCCTGATAACATGTCCAAAGTACGTGAGATGAAGTCTTGCCACCTTATCTTCTAAGGAGCGTTCTGGCTGTACTTCATCCAAGACAGATTTGTTCATTCTTCTGGCAGTCTATGGTATATTCAATATTCTTTGCCAACACCATAATTCAAAGGCATAACTTCTTTGGTCTTCCTTATTCATTGCTCAGCATTCTCATGCATATGAAGCAATTGAAAATACCATGGCTTGAATCAGGCGCACTTTAGTCCTCAGAGTGACAGCTTTGCCTTTCAGTACCTTTAAGGGGTCTTTTGCAGCAGATTTGCCCAATGCAACACTTCGTTTGATTGCTTCACTGCTGCTTCCATGGGTGTTGCTTGTGAATCCAAGTAAAATGAATTCAAGATTTTCTCCATTTATCACGATGTTTCTTATTGATCCAGTTGAGAGGAACTTTGTTTTCTTTTTGTTGAGGTGGAATCCATACTGAAGGCTGTAGTCTTTGATCTTAATCAGCAACTGCTTCAAATCCTCTTCACTTTCAGCAGGCAAAGTTGTGTCATTTGCATATTTCAGGATGTTAATGAGTCTTCCTCCAATCCTGATGCCGCGTTCTTCTTCATATAATCCAGCCTCCTGAATTATTTGTTCAACATCCAGATTGAATAAGTATGGTAAAAGGATTACAGCCCTTACGCACACTTACCTGATTTTAAACCATGCAGTATCCCCTTGTTCTGTTCAAACAACTGCCTCTTGGTCTATGTACAGGTTCTTGATGATCACAGTTAACTGTTCTGGAATTCCCATTCTTCGCAGTGTTATCCATAATTTATTATGATCCACAATGCCTTTGCATTGTCAATAAAACACAGGTAAACATCTTTCTGGTATTGTCTGCTTTCAATCAAGATCCATCTGCCATCAGCAATGATATCCCTTGTTCCATGTCCTCTGCTGAATCTAGTTTGAATTTCTGGCAGTTGCCTATCAATGTACTGCTGCAACTGCTTTTGAATTACCTTCAGCAAAATTTTACTTGTATGTGATATTTATGATATTATTCAACAGTTTACACATTCTGTTGGCTCTTCTTTTTTCTTTGGAATGGGCACAAATATGGATCTCTTCTAGTCGGTTGGGCAGGTAGCTGTCTTCCAAATTTCTTGGCAGAGATGAGTGAGCACCTCCACTGCTACATCCTTTTGTTGAAACATCTCAGTTGGCATTCTGTCAGTTGCTGGAGCCAGTCCTGGTAGTGTAGAGGTTAAGAGCTAGGGCTGCTAACCAAAAGGTTGACAGTTCAAATCCACCAGCTGCTCCACTCTGTCCTATAGAGTTGCTGTGAGTCAGAATCGACTCGACGGCAGCAGGGTTTTTTTGTTTTGTTTCTTGCCAGTGCCTTCAGTGCAGCTTGGACTTCTTCCTTCAGTACCATTGGTTCTGGATCATATGCTACCTCCTGAAATGACTGAATGTCAACCAGCTCTTTTTGGTACCATGACTCTGTATATTCCTTCCATCTTCTTTTGATGCTTCCTGCACTGTTCAGTATTTCACCCGTAGATTCATTCAATATTGCAACTCGAGGCTTGAATTTTTTCTTCAGTTCTTTCAGCTTGAGAAATGCCTAGCATGTTTTTCCCTTTTTGTTTTCTAACTCCAAGTCTTTGCACATTTCATTATAATACTTTACTTTGTCTTTTCAAGCCTCCCTTTGAATAAAATCTTCTGTTCAACTCTTTTACTTCATCAATTCCTCCATTCGCTGTAGCTATTCACTTTTGTTGAAGAGGAAGTCTCTTCTGACATTCATTTTGGTCTGTTCTTTCTTTCTTGTCTTTCCAGTGACCTTTTTGCCTTCTACATGTATGATGTTCTTGATGTCATTCCACAACTTGTCTGATCTTTGGTCAGTAGTGTTCAGTGCGTCAAATCTGTTTTCGAGATGGTCTCTAAATTCAGATGGTATATATTCAAGGTCGTATTTTTGCTCTTGTGGACTTGCTCTAATTTTCTTCAGCTTCAACTTGAACTTGCATATGAGCAGCTGATGGTCTGTTCCACAGTCAGCCCTTGTCCTTGTTCTGCCTGATAGTATTGAGCTTTTCCATAGTCTGTTTCCACAGATAGAGTCGATTTGATTCCTGTGTTTTCCATCTGGTGAAGTCCACGTGCGTAGTTGCTGTTTATGCAGTTGAAAAAAGATAATGGCAGTGAAGAAGTCATTGGTCTTGCAGAATTCTATCGTGTAATCTCCGGCATTGTTTCCATCACCAAGGCCTTATTTTCCAACTACAGATCCTTCTTTGTTTCCAACTTTTGTGTTCCAATCACCAGTAATTATCAATGCATCTTGTTTGCATGTTTGATCAATTTCAGACTGCAGAAGTTAGTAAAAATCTTCAATTTCTTCATCTTTGGCCTTAGTGGTTGGTGTGTAAATTTGAATAATAGTCGTGTTAACTGGTCTTCTTTGTAGATGTATGGATATTATCCTATCACTGACAGTGTTGTACTTTAGGGTAGATCTTGAAATGTTTTTGATGATAAATGCAACACTCTTCCTCTTCAATTTGCCATTCCCAGCATTGTAGACCATATGATTGTCTGATTGAAAATGGCCAATACCAATCCATTTCAGCCCAGTAATGCCTAGGATATCGATCTTTACACATTCCCTTTCATTTTTGAAGACTTCCAATTTTCCTAGGTTTGTACTTCGTACATTCTATGTTCTGATTATTAATTTTGAGTCGTGCCACATCCATAGATGAAGGTCCCGAAAGCTTGACCCCATCCATATCATTAAGGTTGACTCTACTTTGAGAAGGCAGCTCTTCCCCAGTTGTATTTTGAGTGCCTTCCAATCTGAGGGGCTCGTCTTCCCGCACTCTATCAGATGATGTTCCGCTGCTGTTCACAAGGTTTTCACTGGCCAGTATTTTCAGAAGTAGACCACCAGGTCTTTCTTCCTAGTCTGTATTAGTCTGGAAGCTCTGCATAAACCTGTCCACCAAGGGTGACCCTGCTGGATTTGAAATACCAGTGACAAATAGCTTCCAGTATCGTAGCAATAAGCAAGCTACCACAGTACGACAAACTGATAGACAAGTGGTGGATTTGTTGTCTTATTTAAGGTTAATTTTGATCATGGTTTTTGGAGTAGGTGAGGTCTTTGACTTCTTTGGGATGTGATATAAGCTGTGAATTCTTTCCTCAGAAAAATGTACATCCAAAATTTTACACATAATTTTCAGGTTCGTTACATACCCCCTGATTTCTATCCATTGCCAGCCTAGAAACTATTGGGTCACAAGTTAGTAATCTCTGATTTAGAATCCTCCCAGATGCTAATTGAGGAAGAATGGGAAATATAGAAGAAAGTCATAAGTCTTAATTTGATTACTATCTTAATTATCTCGAGGAAGAATTTGTGATTTGATTTTGTAGCTGAATTTATACTTAAGAATTAACTTAAGTCTGCTACATTTCTAACTTCTTAGTTTTAGGATTGTTAATAAGATTTCATGTTGACTTCTATTGCCAGTTCTTTGGTGTCCCTGGTTCTCATTTCATGTTACTTATTTAATTAATGAATGCCCTTTTCCTACTGTCCTTAAATCAGTACATTTCAGAGTAGAAATTAATGTCAAACACATCAAAAACTTTGAGTAACTTTATTTGTAAATATTCCCACATGTATATAGGTGCTTAAAGGGTTGATTCTAGAAACAGTTGTGGTTTTTTATTTTAAAATAATAAAAAAAAGTTTTATTTTTCATCAGGAGAATCTTATTTACACTGCTGATCCAGAATCCTTCGAAGTAAATACAAAAGATATGGATAGCACGTTGAGTAGAGCATCCAGAGCAATAAAAAAGACTTCAAAAAAGGTGAGGTTTCAATGAAATTATTATTTAATATGTCTCTAAAATGTACTTTTCAGAAAATAATAAAATAATATTGCCACAAACACCAGTATAGACTATATAACAAAACAGTTCTTAGAAATGACTCACACTGACAGTAGTTAGTTCGAGTTAGTTCAGTTGCCTCAACAATTATGATAACCTCTTACCTTTCCCATTATAGTGATGTTTTTTGAACTATATTTCGGTAGAAATCTGTTATTGGTGTTTTAGATCTAGAAATGTATGCATTCATCTTAATATTGCCTGGTATTTACCTCAGAGAACAGATAGCCAGCAGACCTGGAATCTATTCCTGACTCTGGAAGTATGTCTTAATCTTCTAATGGTGATGAAGACAACTGCCTTCTTTACCTTATCAGGGTTGAGGACTATTTAAGAATGTTGGTGATGGGGCTTTTAAAAAGTAGACCCAGAATTTTAGTGTTCCAGTGGAATTTTGCAGCCATATAGTCTACTGCTAGATTTATGTATTTTTTTTGTTGTATAAATTTTTGTTTCCTTTCCCTTTGAAGAAAGACCTTATCCTTTATTCATCTTCATATCCCTCAGCACTTAACATGTGTGATGCTTAAGTAGATAAATATGTTACGTGATGACTCAAATGAACTCCTTCTCTCTTTCAATAAAGAAATTGAGGTTCAGAGTGGTTTTGGAGTTATCCAAGATCTCATAAGTAGACTGTGGTAGAATCAGTCAAGAACTCAGATTTCTTTTCTTCCAGGCCAGGTTTTTCCTCCGACTTTCTCTCTCCCAGCTAGACTGCAGTGCTCTGAACTAGTCTATGTGCTACATTTTCTTAGTGTTTTGCGCCATGTACTATTTGTAGAAAAACTTTTGGTGTGCATTTGGCTCTGATTATGTGTGAACGTTCTTATTAGCTATATTAGATTTGTCTAGGCTTGATTAATTATGATCTTTTTAATCTAGGTGACAAGAGCATTCTCTTTCTCCAAAACTCCAAAAAGTGCTCTCCGAAGGGCTCTTATGACATCTCATGGCTCAGCTGAGGGAAGAAGTCCTCCCAGCAACAACAAGCATGTAGTGAATCGTCTGACTAGCACATCATCATTAGCAGTAAGTGGCTTTGATTTAATGAGCTAATTGGCTTATTCACACTTATGGAGTTGATATGGAATTTGTTAACTTTTTAAAAATGGAATTCTTAATGCCTTAAATTTTTTGGATTTCTAACCTCTGTTGGGTAAAGGCAACTGAGAAAACCTCACTGTTAATAAGCACTTAATGTGTAGTTTGTTAGATACAAAATTTTGTTGGGATTTGAGTATGTTTTAAAATCTCTAGGAAGAAATATGGTTCAGTCTGACTTACCACTTGGCTAGTGAAAATAGCGATTGTTCTTTTCACACAGATTGTTTCCAGTAATAGAGACCGAGTTTTATCCCCTCCACCATTTCTGTGATGAGTACAATACGATCTCTGCAAAATTATGAATTTCAGAGAATGATATAGGTTCTTAATTTTTGTATGTATTTTTTAATGTTTTCTCAATGATTCACATCCCCAATGGTGTCATTAATTATTGGAAATTTCTGAAGTTCATTATTATCACTAAGTGTATGAGTAATATATCTATCCTTTGTAAAATTATTAATCTAATCTTACTAAGGTTAAGAAAAGTCAGTGTCTGTCACTTTTTAGCTATGTCCTTCGACAAGTTTGTTATTCTCTCTTATCTCCACTTTTGCAGATGAGAAAAAAGTAATTAATAGTACTTACCCATAGTTTTCCTATACGGACTAACTGAAGTAACGTGTGTGCATGTATGATGTAACTGTGTGCTGAGAAGCAGTTTGGGTGTGCATAATGTGACTATGTACTAAGAAGCAGTTTGAGTGTGTATGTTGTGAGCGTGTGCTGAGAAGCAGTTTGGGTGGTGGTTAAGAGCATGAGCTCTGGAACCCAAGTGTACAAATCCTGCTTCTGCTGTTTGCTAGCTACATGACTTTTGGCAAGTAATTTAAACTTTGTTTTAATTTCACTGTCTGTAAAATGAGTCTAAAGTAGCTGTAGGAATTAAATGAGTTAATATATGTAAAGCTCTTAGAACAGTACCTGGCACATAGTAAGTGCTCTAGTGTTTTATAAATGCTTATCTTTTATTATATAAAACTTTATACAGGCAAGGCATAAAATGCTCAATAAATAATTGTCTTAAAAGTGATTTAATATCTTTAGTTAACACATCAAGAAGTTACAGCTAAACCTATGAGTAGATTTATATGAATTTTAGATCGAGGTTAACCTTAACTAATGGGAGAGAAGTTGTACTTAGTTGATAATGTAAATATATGCCAAGTAATTTGAGTGATCAATTAAAAATGATTTAGAACTGACAGACAAAATGTAGATAAGCATTCATTTGTAAAAATTAGATTATAAGGTTTCTGAAGGTCAAAATACTATCCCTTGTTTGTTTTCTGCATCTATAGTAAGTGTTGTAAACACTGTTTTTCAAATTAAGGGAAATGGCTTTTTAAGAAAATTTTAAGGAGATAAATTTATATTATTAATGATCGTGTCACTTTTATATAGACATAAATAAGTACCTAAAATATCTTTAAGACATTTATGTCTTCTCAATTGCTTGTTTCTGTTCTAACAGATTACCCATTCTGTTTCCACAAGCAATGTAACTGGATTTATTAATAAGAATGTTTACGTTCAGCGCTCAAACTCTACCGGTGGGCGCTCTCAAAACTCCTGGTTTCGATTTATACATCATTCTGCCTACCGAGCTAGTTTTTCAGAGATACTAGAAGGAAATATTCATTTATCAAATTTCACAAAAAGTTCTATTCAAGTCATCTTTGACATTTGTGAAGATTTAGGAGATATGCCAAGCAGTAATGGAAACAAGCCTCGTGAAGTTTAATGTGAGCTTATTAGCTATTTGAAATTTGTATTTGTGAAAAATAGAAAATATTTCTTCTCCACCGAATCACTTACTAGATGGGCTTGGATTTATGAATTCACAACTTTTATAACTGCTTTGAATTTGTAACAACTTAGGCTTAATAGAGTGTCTTTACATATTGACACATGAAGGAAAAATATTTTTGCAAGGTAATTTACTGTCAAATCCATAGTCAATAACATTGGAAATTTTCTCCCTTATGAAAATGATCTTTTTAAAGAACAGTAATGATTGTCATGAAATGTGGATTTATATTCCAAATCTGATTCTTACTCTTACATGTATGGCATTTGTATAAAATTTATGCTTTTAATATGACAAATCATAAAGGCTTCACCTCTGAAAAATGTAATCGTTTACACTAGCTATTTATATCATAGCTTTATTAGCACTTGAATGACAATACTTTACCAACCCAGTTCTTTAAATGCTTTATTTTACTACCTTGTTGATGAGAATTTAGAGCCAATTACTTGTTGGCTCTAAGTTTAGTTAGTTAGCCGTTTGTGTATGTTGAAATAGTAACCATGTAAGTCATTTTAGTTTACACTCACTCTTGGATTTTTGGTATTCTCTTCTTGTGTGTTTCATTGTCATAGTTGTTAAAAATTCTCATGATATTTAACTTTGACCTCTGAATCAGTAAGTTTAGACCACTTAGCAATTTAATAATCACTGTTATTAGAAGCACTTCTGTTTTACTCAGTTTTTTTATAGAGCAAAGCTATATGCATATACACATAGTAGAGAAACTATTTGGAAGTGTATGACTTTTGATTTTAGAAAATAATTTACCATGAAGTGATTTCTTTCCTCTTTAATTCTGCTTTATGATTAAGTAGAACCCATTAAGGTTTATCTTTTTGCCACAAAAAATTGTTTATTAATTTATTATTGTATTATTATAACCTAAAACACTGAATCATTAACATCGCACAAAAGGAAGTTAGTTACCATTACTAGCAGTAAACTAGTATCTCTTCTAAAAAACCTATTGAGCTAATATTAAATAATATCTAGTTAACTAGTCTATCCATTTGTTTTTTGTTTTCAGAATGTTAAAATAGGCTTTTAATTATGTTTTTTCCACATCCCACTCCCCTAATTTTAAATTGATTTATTTATTTAAAGGGTTTAGAAGTTTCAGATGTGTTTTAATTAGTTGTTATGGTAATTTGTAAAATGTAAAAATGATGAGTAATGTGCTGAATTGTGTTACAATTTTTTTATAGAAAAATTTAAAATATTTTGTCTTGTCTTTACAGGGTATCCCATCCCCCTCCCTTGTCAGCCTTCCGTCTTTCTTTGAAAGGAGAAGTCATACTTTAAGTAGATCTACAACTCATTTGATATGAAGCTTAAAAGATTTTATATTATAGAAACTTAAAAACACGTCGTACTCAAACAATAAAACTGACGTAAATGGTACTTGTCATTAGCACTTGGCGAAAGTTGGAAAGACGATAGGTAACACTAAACTATGCCATTTGATTTTCTTTTTGAAAAGTAATGTTTACCTCTTACATTTTCAAAGTTAATTCATGTAAAAACTGATAGTGATTTTGATGTAATTTATTTCTTTGCTCGAATCCCTCGTTTGAACACCAATAATTTATTGATGACATCAGTAGCTTTGTACCCCTGATACAGCCAATAACTTTTATTGGTGGGTACCAGATACTGCTGTGAATCTACTTGTATATTGTCCATCAGTGAATTTATGGAAATATGTATTTGTGTATCTCAATTTGTGCAGAAATTAAGTGATATTATAATACTTAATGGATAAAAAACCTGCATAGATCCCGGATTAAATAGTGGGGCCTTATTTCACACGTGTTATTTGAAGTAGTTATTTAACTGCTGCTTTTACATAGTTTATTTTCTTCTCAAACGTTTTCAAGATCTAGCATATGAATTTGAAAAGCGTTGTTCTCATTAACAAGAAAAACAGTTAAAGGAGATTGTTTCAAAATACTTTTGTAAATTGAGGTAAGCCCAGAAAGATTTAAAATTTTTGTATATTTTGCACAAACAATATTGGTGTATACTTACAGCTGTTTCAAAGACAATGTATTTATGGTGATTTTTAGTCACTAGCAAATCCTAATTTAGTTTGATGGTGGGTAGAATTTTATCTTGAAGGACAAGAGTATAGGAAAATTGTGGTAAAGATTCTTTATATCCTCTATGAAATAACTCTAAGGTTGCCATTAGTTTTTCCAGTCTACAACAGAATGCATAGATATGTGTATGGTCAGCTTTTTATTATGAATTTATGATTAAATGTAGAATTGAAATACATTTATTTCCTGTTGTAAAATATTTTTCAAGTCTGGAAGTTATCTTTCACAATAGTATTTTTTTTTTTTAATTAAACAGTAGTACAAAATAATCAAGTTCTTATGAATAAATACATTTTTTTCCTACCTGTTTAAGGAATGGCGCAAAAGTTTTATTGCCGTTTAACAATTCTCAATTATCTGTTTTATGTACCGCTTTTGAGGATAGGAAATGGTCCTTTATTGCTGTACTTTAAAAGCAGTTGTATTAGTAAGAACTTTGTAAATAAATACTCAAAAACCTAAGGATATTTAATGTCTCATGTTTTAATTCACACACAGATTTTAATAGGCAAATATAAATAGTTGTATCAACCTCTGCTCTGTTATATATTCTTTTGTTATTTATTTGCTCATTCCTTCCTCTGTTAATGTTTTTGAGGATTTTGTACACTGGACTACCTGTAGGGTAGGAGTTTTTAATCTGAAATCTGCTTTCTGGAATGGAGATTGTGATTTTTTTGGGGGTGGGGTAGGTGGGTAAAATTTTGTGTATATGTGCATGGATGCATTTTTTTCTGGCAGAAAATACATAGCTTGTATCATTTTATTTAGGGTGGAACTGTGATATCCCCCAGAAAGGGCCTTCCAGATAGAGAAAATGGTACTGGAAAAGCCTTAAAATTGGAAAAATATTGGATGTCCACTAGCAACAAATAGTTAATTTTAACGGAAATGTTTCTAGTTTTCATCATTAACTATACCTGCTCTGGGTTTAGTATGTCCCTGTTATCAGTTGAAGACAGTGTACATCTATTGCTCACCTGTTAAGATGCTTTATTATGTATGGATATTAAATATAATCAATTTAGTCCTCTCGAGAATATCTTATTGATCTTTATTCTGCTAAATTATATTAATAAACTTTCTAATTTTAACTCAGTCTTAAATTGTCAGTACACCCTACTTGATCCTGATGTATTGAATGTAGAACCATGAAAATCTAGGCTCATAGATATGAAACAGCTATATAAGAAAATGTTCAACTCCATTCCAGATTTGAAAATCTAGAGGAACTAGACAAAATATAGCCAAAGTTGACCCAAGAAGTGGTAGATAATTCTAATGGTCCAGTAAATAGAACAAGTTAGAAAGTTGAATATGTACTGTTGAAGAAGACATGAGGTTCAGATGATTTTAAAGCCGAGTTCCAACATTTAGAGAATAGTTAATGTGTAATAATATCATACTTTACATATTTAAAGAACATGGGCAGCTATTGAGTTCATTTCATGAAGTTAACGTAAGCATAATATTAACATTTTAAAAGGATAGTGTAAGGAACAAAAGTACTGCGTAATTTCAATTATGGATACAATCCGAAAAATTGAACCCATTGCCATCAAGTTGTTTCCAACTTGTAGCAACCCTATAGGACAGAGTAGAACTGCTCCATAGGGTTTCCAGGAAGCAGCTGGTGGATTCAAACTGCCGATCTTTGGTTAGTAGCTGAATTCTTAACCACTGTGCTACCAGAGCACCAATTATGGATATGGAAGCAAGCATTCCAAATAAAATATTAACAGTTTAAATCTAGAAATGCAGTTTAAAATACAGCCTAACTGAATATATAACCATTAGATTCACTAATACCTATATTCAGTCTGAATTGACATAAGGATCATGGTAAATAGAACATAGGTTCTTTGTCTAAAGGAAGAAAGAATCAGTTACGTGACATCAAGCAAAGATATAGTGCATTAAACTGAAACCTCATGTGTTCTCATCTGTTACTTCAGCCTCCTCAGACTAAAACAATTTGATTCAAGTATATTCCTCAACTTAGTGCCATTACACATACTCCTCAATTATTGACATGATTAGGTTCCAAAGACCAGGTCGTTATACAAAAATCAGCATTATGTGATAATGGAGGATGACCATGTCAGATCACAAAATGGAGGATGACTACATCATTACATAATTGCCAAACCACTGAGAATCATGGTCCAGCCAAGTTGACACATAACCTTAACCATCACAGCCAGCGTTAACTCTCACCTTACACCTCGGCATACGTTACTGCCAGGCATATGTCATTAATGCGCAAAATAGTAGATTTTTAACTCTTGTAAATGCACAGTGTCAGATAATGACAGTCAATAAGTAAGGAGTAGGTGTGTAGAGCCAGAGTGGAGATCAGTTTTCTAGAAAGTTCCAATACTAATGCTAATGAGCTTTTTGAACTGCTTTAGGACTTAGTGTTTTTCCAAAAACACGAGAGTGGTTCAACATTAGGAAATCAATCAATATGACTTATATTGATAACTTAAAGGATAAAAAGTATATGATTTATCGATCGGTTCCAAAAGACCGTTTAATAAAAATCAGACCCTATTCTTAATAAAAATTCTAAGGACTTTTGAAAATATGACTGACTAAGCTGATACATTCTGGTGAGTGCCCTTCTAACTAATGTCAAACATTTCTTTATGAAATATAACCAAAAAGTAATTTTAATATACAGCTGGTGTTAAAACAAAACTGGGAAAATCACCAGGTGTGACAAATTGAGAGAATTCAGTGTGGTAAGTGGAAACTGATATGAAAGGTAAATTGTAGGAAGTTTATACCAAGATGTTAGGCCCTAAATGCTGAAGAGTAGACCCCTACCTCATCCTGATGGAAGTGTAAGAGATAGTACGTCGGGACCATGGAAGGTTATGGATCTTGGATTGATACCTTATGTAGATCCTAAAACTTAAAAAATCAACCCTCTCCACTAGAAATCACTTGTTAGGTGCCATCGAGTCAGTTGCGACTCATAGCGACCCTATGTAGTACAGAACGAAACACTGCCCAGTCCTGTGCCATGCTCACAATCATTGTTATGCTTGAGTGCATTGTCGCAGCCACTGCGTCAGTCCATCTCATTGAGGGTCTTCCTCTTTTCGCTGACCCTCTGCCAAGCGTGGTGTCTTTCTCCAGGGACTGATCCCTCCTGATAACATGTCCAAAGTATGTAAAACGTGGTTTCACCATCCTTGCTTCTAAGGAGCATTCTGGCTGCACTTCTTCCAAGACAGATTTGTTTGCTCTTTTGGCAGTCCATGGTATATTCAATATTCTTCACCAACACCACAATTCAAAGGCATCAATTTTTCTTCTGTCTTCCTTATTCATTGTCCAGCTTTCGCATGCATATGATATGATTGAAAATACCATGGTCTGGATCAGGCACACCTTAGTCTTAAAGGCGATGTCTTTGCTCTTCAACACTTTAAAGAGGTCTTTTGTAGCAGATTTGCCCAATGCAATGTGTCTTGATTTCTTGACTGCTGCTTCCATGGGTGTTGATTGTGGATCCAAGTAAAATGAAATCCTTGACAGCTTCAATCTTTTATCCGTTTATCATGATGTTGTTTCTTGGTCTAGTTGTGAGGATTTTTGTTTTGTTTATGTTGAGGTGTAATCCATACTGAAGGTTGTTTTTGATCTTCATCAGTAAGTGCCTCAAGTCCTCTTCACTTTGAGCAAGCAAGGTTATGTCATTTGCATAATGCAGTTTGTTAATGAGTCTTCCTCCAGTCCTGATGCCCTGTTCTTCTTCATGTAGTCCAGCGTCACAGATTATTTGCTCAGCATATAGATTGAATAGGTATGGTGAAAGGATACAACCCTGACACACACCTTTTCTGACTTTAAATCATGAAGTATCCCCTTGTTCTGTTCAAATGACTGCCTCTTGATCTATGTCCAGGTTCCTCAAGAGCACAGTTAAGTGTTCTGGAATTCCCATTGTTCGTAATGTTATCCATAATTTGTTAAGATCCACACAGTTGAAGGCTTTTGCATAGTCCATAAAACACAGGTAAACATCTTTCCGGTATTCTCTCCTTTCAACCAGGATCCATCTGACGTAAGCAATGATACCCCTGGTTCCACGTCCTCTTCTGAATCCAGCCTGAATTTCTAGCAGTTCCCTGTTGATATACTGCTGCAGCCACTTTTAAAAGATCTTCAGCAAAATTTTACTTGCATGGATATTAATGATATTGTTTGATAATTTCCACATTCAGTTGGATCACCTTTCTTGGGAATAGGCATAAATATGGGTCTCTTCCAGTAGGTTGGCAAGGTAGCTGTCTTCCAAATTTCTTGGCATAGACGAGTGAGCACTTCCAGGACTGCATCCATTTGTTGAAACATCTCTATTGATATTCCAACAATTCCTGGAGTCTTGTTTTTCACCAATGCCTTCAGTGCAGCTTGGACTTCTTCTTTCAGTACCGTTGGTTCCTGATCATATGCTACCTCTTGAAATTGTTGAACGTCAACCAATTCTTTTTGGTATAATGACTGTGTATCCCTTCCATCTTCTTGTGATACTTTCTGCATCATTTAATATCACTTAGATTATATGTAACCCTCTTAAAAAAAAAAAAAAAAAGAAAATGCCTAGTTGAAAAGATAATTAAAAGCAAAAGAGGAAATAAATCATGAGGAGAGTAAACAGATGTAATCAATAGAATCTGTACTCCAAGACTGGAAATAATGTATCAATTAAAATGGCACTTTAATATATTTAGAAAAAAGAAGTATTGAATAATGGTACAGTATGATAAAAGAAAAATAGCTGGATTTGAAAAGGAACAAATTGAACTTCTAGAATTAAAATAGAGACGGCTGAGAAGAAAACTAGTGAACTGGAAGATAAATTTGAGAAAGTTATCCAGAAAGCTTCACAGACAAAGAGATGGAAACTACAAATACGCTTAAGATGTAAAAAAGAAAAATATGAACACTGAATCCCTATAATATGATGTCTGGAAAGAGAAGTTAAAACTGTGTGAGGGGGTGGAAAGCAATATTTGGAGAGTTAATAGCTGAGAATTTTCTAAAATTGTAGAAAGACATGGAATTTACAATTGAGCATGCACCTCGAGTACCGAGCAGAGACAATGAAAAATCCTCAGAACATAATAGTGACAGTCCAAGAGAAAAATAAATGGAGAGTTCTAACATGTTTGTGAATAGAAAGATTCAATGTAAAAGAGATGTTAATTTTCTTCAAAATAACTTTATAAATGTAATTTAAGTCCAATCAAAAGCTTGAGTGGATTTTTTTTTGAAATTTAATTAAAAAGAACAATATAAACAAAGTTAAAACTTTTTTTTAAAAAAACAAGCCATAGACTGGGTGAAGATGTAACACATAAAGAATTTATAGCTAGAATGTGTGAGAAACTCTTAAGAATTAATTTCTAACGGATACAGCCAATAGGAAAATTGCCAAAAATATAGATGGTTCACAAAAAAAAAAAAAAAAGAAAATG